CTAAGCTGTAATACAGTGTATTTTCATTTTAAAAAGTTAATAAGTTGTTAATAAAACAAGTGTTTGTAGAACTATTAGCGATATAGGTCCGATGATATTAGTAAATGATCGATTTGTAAAGGTGAAAGCAAAATTACTTTAAACTTTTAAACTTTACATTTTATTTGTTCTAAATTTTGTATGTATAACAATATCCTTAATTCACCGAATTATCTACATGTCGGGAAATGTTTCCGAAGTGAAATATATGTATGGTGTCACAATAACCTTGGAAGTATCCATTGAGTGTGAAATCAATTTTATTCAAAAAGTTACTTTTCAACGCATTTGTAGATCTTTCATTTTAACTATTTTATCCAAATTGAGCTATTATTACAGAATGTGAAATGTAGTGGAACTTATTTAGTATTCAAGCAAAAAAAGTGTAAAATTGAGGAACCTAGTTAGCAAATTACACACATATTTCACATAAATGTAAGACTTTTGGAGCGAAAAAGCTCTAGAAAATTACCACCAGAAAGTGCATTTAAAATTTCCTAACGCAAAATGGGCTATTTATTATTTTACGAAATATGAACCTGCATATGCGGTCGACGCTAATAAATGGTTGACCGACAAAAGCTTTTCTATTTTTTAATTCAACTTTATTGGTCCTAATCTCCTTAATTGAGTTACAATTTTATCAAAACGTTTCTGCTTCCTTCTAGTAAGAGCCTTGTTCTTGTTGTTTTAACCAGCTACAATTAATTATAATCTAATTTAAAGTGTAATTCCGAAAACCGCACAAATGTTGTTTTAAGTTAAATTTTCGAAAGTTCTTGTTAAGTTGGGCAAGTAATTTTATATACGGCGGCTATGTGAAACATGAAATATTTAATTAATAAAATGTCCCAAAAACTAAACTGGGATAAGATGGTCAACCTTGACTTTCGCTTTATTTTCAAAAAATTATCGATAACTTGCATAAGGCGTTACATTTTATGCTACATTGCCTAAGGTGCATTAGCAAAGAGGAAATATTAAATCGTTATGGCGTTATAAGTTTACGAACGCTTGTGAAACTATGGAACATGATAGCAAGGTAAGTACAGGTACATAGAAAAATATCATTTTGCACTTTTTATAGCTTGGGTAATTATAAAAGATTAATTTTTAATAGTTTAAGGTACGTTCTTTTTTCGATCGTTTTCGTTACATAATAATATATAAAATTTAGTACGTGCAATCAATTAAGTAACGAATTGCTGCCATTAGCCCGTTTTCTAGATCACCGATTTTTAACTATAGGATACCCAATTTAAGAAGTGTAACGACATAAGTGACATTTTTGTTTCCGTGTTCAAAAGAAGTTGCTGACACCTACATTTTCTAAATATTTTGAGGGCGTCGCAAAAATTAGAACAAGGTGCAACACTAATTATAACATAATGGAAATCATAAACGGAGTAATTTGCAATAACATTTCCAAAAACTTATCTTTTCGATAAATTGCTACACGTGGTACTGAAAATTTCAATAATTTATTACATAGCGTCAAGAATTATGCACTGTTCACAATGTAAGGGTAATAAAATAATTAAAAAAACAGTAATAACAATAAAATACTGAAAACAGTTTATAGCCCCCTTCATTAGGAACAAATTAATTTATAGTTGATTTACATTTACAAATTAATTACGAATTCACGGAGAGTATCGTTGTTTTATCATACTTAATGTTGCAAGTATACACGTCCTATCTACATCGTTTTACATATCTTTCTAAGAAACATATTTCCTTCTGGTTACTTTCAAATGTTCATTCCAGGTGAAAAACATTCACCAGTAGTGGCAGTATAAAACATTTTCCATTTTCTCATTTCCTTAATCAGATTGCACCTCGTAAAAGTACCAATATCACATTTAATTAAGACATTTCTGGTTACAATCTATTTCATAAACACCATACTACCGGACGACAAAATAATTCTTAAGTTCATTAATTAAAAATGAATAAATGCTTTTAAAGAAATTCACAGTTCTACTAGGAAGTCATTAAAAATAGGGACGGGGGTTAAATGTAGGGATCTATGTAATTTTAACAATCCATTTTAATTCCCATTTTATTTTTTATTATTAATTATAAGTTTGATGCCTTCTGACTGGATAACACGAACACAACATCATCCAATGATCTGCGTCTGTTGACCTTTTTCTTTCTGCATTTATAAATAATAAGTTGCTGAGAAAATCAAATGTTGTAATCGAAGAAACGTTTAACATTTCCACATGGATCCCTAGTTTCATCTACATTTTCGTAGTAATCCTGGGAATTTTGCTGTCCCAAATGTTTTGTCGTTCCCTGCTGACGGCATCTTCAATGGTGACGTGACAGAACGACAATACATGGATCTAAGCAACCTACTTATTAAGGGGAAAGCTTTAAGAATTTCTAAACGTTCTTAGAAAATATTTGCACAGTTATGCAACATAGTTGAACCTCATAGTTCTAAATTTTTGATAATATGTATATTTATAGCATCATTCGTAATGCAGGTGCAATTCGGTTTATGCGCTCAGTTGACGAAACTGGGTCTCTTGTGGTAGTAAAAATACGGTATTATCAAGAAAACCATTTTTTCTCTTGAATTGATTAAAAACTGAAAATATGCTGCAACTGCAACTATGTACTTGCTCAATATTCAATTTTACGTACAATATCTCCAGCCGTATTCACTATTTCTTTTGTTAACAACCATACAGTCAATAAACATTACGTTAATTCAATTAAAAGTTGCATATTGTGGGCGTACTTGTTAGATTTAAAGTAAAAGAATGCAATTACCCATACAAAAGAGGATAAGTAGGCTATGTGGTTACCACTTTCACATGTTTCAACTTTCCCTTTCTTTTCAGCCGCTTCTCGTACATCCATCTCTATCAGAACGATGCGTTTAATTTGGTAATGGTCATCGTGTGTTCAAAAAACAAAAAGAGAAAAGAGGTTTGCTGGATTCGTTACTCTCTTCTAAAATTCAATCTACTGACAATTAGGAATTAATCTAAAAGGATGTTTCTGTATTGTAAAACAGAATATATACATCTTTTAGCTATGTATTTATCAAGTTCATAAAGAACAATTGTGGTGAACGCTTCTTGCGATACTTAACATTCAAAAGCTCAAATAGCCATAAAACAATTACTTACAATTAGAAAAACATTTCCAATGACAATAACAATAACTATAAATTTGGTTGTCAAGTTTATTAACGAATATTCCCTTTAAAAACAAACTTGGTGATAATCGAAAGGGAAAAAAAAATAATTGTGCATATTTTAAAAATATTAATTTCATGAGTTTTCCCGTTAGTGCTTATTAAGTATTTTTTTTTAATTATTGCCTTAAAGGCATTAAAAACTCACAACTAACATGAAAATTATGATCGGAAAAATTCAAAAATGAGCTTTTGTTCTTTTCATACATTTTTAATTTTTTTATTTTTCCAGAGCTCAAAATAACTAAAAAAATATTTTACAAAATCCTTTAACAACTCCTTGATCTACCAATCACAGTTATCTTTGTATAGGTGTACTTTAGCATTTTTTTCATCGTATTCTCTGCTATACTGTATCACATTCCAGTGATGTTTAGAAATTGCAAGTTACAGTTCCTTATAAGAATGCTTTAAAATATTTGAAATTTTCATAAATTATTCTTCTAATGACTGGAATTTTATACGGAGTTTGATGTATAGATATCATGCTATTTTCAAAATTTCGATTTACAAACTGGCGAAGCCGATGATCGATGAGGAGAACAGTAGAAAATTCAGAAAAAATACTTGTAGGTTCTAAGATCAGTATCAAAACTACCCACATGTGAACGAATATATTTCGTTCTAAAGAAAATACCACTTCCTATTAGATTTCATTAAAACAGTCAGGGTAAAAATAACTAGGTACTATAGGTAAAACAACTTATAAATAGCTTTTTCCTCAGGTGTTCATAACATAATTTGGATAATTGTATTGCAGTAGTGCAGTTCTTATGCAATAATTACAATCGCAAATTAAGGAAATTGCATTCTTATTACTAATAACGGCTGTTTTGATTAGTGGTGCACATGTAGCGCAAAACACTTAATTAATTGAATATGTTGTACACGCCTACGAAGATAAGGTATTCATTTAATAAATTATATATTGCGTTGGTAATAGTCCAGCAGTTTGCTTAATTTTAACTATTTTACTTTCGAGAAGTACCTATAACAAAAAAGCATCTCAAAAAATTTGATTGCACGCGCTGCGTGATAATCAGATTATTGTGTTAACGCCGCTGATCTAGTTAAAATCAGACAGGCAAAAACAATCACGAGACAGGTATTCGAGGGCAATTTATAATTCAACAATGTTGTATAATTTAATTTATTGAAATCAAAAATTAAATTTCGTGATTGCATTGGCGATACGTATATAAAGAAGTGTTTATTAAGGAAGTATTTCAGTTTTGTGTCCAACAGATTATATAACACCGTCAAAATCACACCGATACCCACCCGAATTAACGAATTACAAACCAAATTTACCACCAGAGCCATCGATACCAACAATCCTATCTCAACAGGAACCCTATCCCACATTCCGCGCAGAATAAGACGAAAACCCAAACAAAAAATACCTTTTCCTCCCGCCAAACTACTGGCAATCACTCCAAACCTTCCAGATGATTTACTAGACTACTTCGATAACCTACCAAACTCCCTTAAACAATAACACTAAAACACACACACACACACAAACACACACACACACACACACAAATCCTGTAGTTTGTTATTATTAATAACACTTACATACATACATGCATACATACATACAAGCATGCATACATACATACATACACGCAAACATTTGCACGCGCGGCGTATTGTAGTGGGCGTTAACAACAACAAAAAAACCGTAAACAATAACAAAAAAAAATGGACGATGTCACGCCCATCCACTCATTAACAAAATGGACGATTACAACATCTNCAGTTTATCAAATCTAGGGCCCCATGCGCCCAGGTAGTCGTATTCGTGTGTGCCATCGTCCGTTCCTACAGTAATTATGGCATCTTTTTATATTAAAAAAACAGCCATGCATCTATCTTAACTAATATTAACGGGATTTATTCAACGCAATTTTGTTCATAAAAGGAAAGTAAAAATTACTTTTACCACATTTTCTGCATTTCGGAAAATTTGATCTAGATCTAATTTTAAATGCGGTTTAAATAAATCGATGATTCTTTTAGAAATGTGTTAGTTACAATATTATTAAAAAAGTTACCTGAAGCAAGCGAACTCAGAGAGCCTGCTGTACTGCCACCTCCTTCATAAGCGTAATTGCGCAAATCATCAAATGGTGGTGCATTGAGGTCACCATCAGCTCTTCTTTTATGCTCGTCAATGAAAACTCCAACATTGGGTTCCTGACCTACACCTAAGATTGGCGGTGGATCTATTGAAGGGACAGAGTTTATGTAAAAAAAAAAAAAAAAAAAAAAAAAAAATTTCAGTTTTGTAAAAGCTAAAATAAATAAATATTGAATTAAAACTTAATTAATCTGGAATAAGATATAAATCAGTTTCAAAGCTGCATGGATGCTTGTACTCAACGGTTTTCTGTTAAAAATAATGAGCGTGTGCATAATGAAAGTAATAACAGTGAAGGTGTTCAGTTAGGAAGTTTGGCAATTTTATTGGGTTATTAGCATCTAAAGTGAAAGTGATAGAATTTCCCACAAAACACCTTCCTACATATACAAACACATGTGAATTTAAGTAGGCATGTATAGTCATAAAAATAACAATTTCTTCTACATGGACGAAAACAGTGACAAGCGAGAACATTTCTAAGTACCTACCACATAAATGTTTTATTGCAGATGCTTTAAATGTTTAAATACTGTAAAATTTCCGGTTAAAACGGAAGTTGAAGGACATAATCCTTTTAAGGAATCATCAAATAGAAACACATATTCAAAGTGTTAGAGATGAACTGTTGACGAATCTTTGAAGAAAATGAAAGTGATTTCATTATACGCCTTTAATACGCCAATTGGTTAAAGTTATCTGACATAAACTTTAAATATAATCCTGTTTCCTCATTTCTTCCCCTTAGATTGATATATAAAAAAAAGAACCAAGACCAAAAATGGTAGTAATGTTTTGTTTTAACTATTTGGAAAAAACTATTAATTAACTGAAGAACCTACCTTGATAAAGCTTTACAACAAGAGGCGAAACGTTAGTGTCGGTTTTATACTTAAAATAAAACAATACTGCCCTTATTGGCCTGGATTCTTTTTCACATAACAAGGGAACTTCAATAGGGGTATCATTGTTATTTGTTTGCAATAAAATTACCGTTCTGTACTTTGCACTACAAATACCATATTGACGTACATGTTGTTGGTCTATCATTTAATAACGGTGTAATAAGCACTTTCAATATTATGTTTCGTCATTTGTATCATAACCTGTAATCAATTTGTAAGCTAAATGCAGACGATTTCTACCTTAAATACCTTTATTGCAGCGTATTACCGCTTCAAATTAACCATCGAAGTGTTTGAATGTAGATACCCATAAAACACCAACTGTATAATTTCTAATTTGAACTGAATCATCTTTACGGGGTATTTAACCTGAATTCTACTGAGTGAGGATTACGATATTATTTTTAAACGGGAAATTACTTACTTAGTTTATTTAATGTGGTGTGGAATATTGACAATTAAAAGTGTAGTAGGACCTTACCTTAAGTTAGTAGATAATTATTTGTAATTACCTAATTGCAATACATAATAATACAATATTTTTTTTAAATTATTGCATTATTTGTCTCATACATATTAATTAATACGTGGTAATGTTTCGTTTAATGACAAAAAATGGAGTGGAGAACGAATAATATCCATATTTTCTTTGAGTTGTTCTAAAAAGGAAATTGAATAAGCTATACAAGCTTTTGAGGATACTGTCTGACTTTAGATACTTCTGTCAGTTACAATTAGGGTTGCCACCTTTTTAGGCTTTACATAAAGTATTTCTCGACTAAAAGGTTAAGAAAAAAGTACTCGGCATAAAAATAAAGTATTTCATTTTTTGTTTTTAAAAACATATTTTTTGTTACACTTAGTAGACAGTAACAAATTGCTGTCGCTCTTAAATACATTAATAGCCTCTAAACATGGCAAACAAAGATATAAGTAAACTAAAAGTTCATTTTTAATTAGTTTTAATGAAGCTTTATTCCTGTCGTCCCGCCACTTTGCGTTCATAACAGAGAATACTCTTTCTGTAAATGCTGAAGTGGCCGAAACGGACAGCAAAAGTGACACTACTTTGAACAGATTTGGGAAATCAGGTTGTTCCGTAAATATGGCTTGCCATTTTTCTGTGCAATATTATTGATGTAAAAATACTCTGAATTTCGAATAATCGCTTACAAAATTACAATGTCTACTTAAGGCCTTAAATAAAGTATTTTTGCGTACTTTACGTGTCTTGTAAAGTATAACGTACGCACAGTCGAAATAGAGTACAATACTTTATAATAAAGTACGGCTGGCAACCCTAGTTACAATATTGAAACAAAAAGAATTTAATTAGCATGGTGGAAGTTAACATCTATAAAAAAAAAATGAACTAACGTCAGCCAGAATAGATTACAAATTCATTATTTATGAGAATGAGAAAATCAATGAATCAATTTCATTGATTGTATGTAATGAATATATTCAAAGGTGATTATATACAAACACCGGATATTTGTACAGAAATAACCATTTACGTAATCAGAAGACGGTTTTAGGCAGTACATATGTCGCCTTTTATAAAAATAATCAAACATCTGACGTTTCAACTTTCACTGATTTTAGTGATTAACAATGGCTCAGTATTACCCATTTATTATCATTCAAAAAGAAAAATAACCATTCCTAACAAAACAATCAACATTTTTTTTAAAAATAGTGCTGCACCCTGCATCCCCTACCAGATAAATAAGGTAGGTAACAAAAAGAGCTCTTTATGTCAAATACTTTTCAATAGGTTGTTGAAATTTGAATAAATAATTAACTAATTCCTCAACCACACAATTACAAGCTTCGTATATCGATTCATATCGAAAGCTTTTTACCTTGACAATGAGAAATCACATTTCTATACAATACATTAGGCAGTGTAGGTGATGACTGCAGTGACTCAAGAAATTTAGTTTCGAAATTTGCTCGATACCAAGAAACTACTTTCATACATCCGCAAAACCGAATTAGTTTTTGATGTAAATACCTACTGCTTTCTATTTATTTTAAAAAATCGAAAATGTGTATGCTCTGGCAATATAGAAAGCTATGAAAGGACATATTTTTATTGTACTTCAGATGTTAACTAACTACGATCCATTTCGCGAAAAAATATCTAGAGGTTATTTGTCCTTTCTTTCAATTTAATTTAATTATTCATAATTACATTTTCTTGTCAGGATGAGAAGTACTAGGACTACGATATTACAAAAAACTTGATACTAATAACGGCTGTTTTGATTAGTGGTGCACATGTAGCGCAAAACACTTAATTAATTGAATATGTTGTACACGCCTACGAAGATAAGGTATTCATTTAATAAATTATATATTGCGTTGGTAATAGTCCAGCAGTTTGCTTAATTTTAACTATTTTACTTTCGAGAAGTACCTATAACAAAAAAGCATCTCAAAAAATTTGATTGCACGCGCTGCGTGATAATCAGATTATTGTGTTAACGCCGCTGATCTAGTTAAAATCAGACAGGCAAAAACAATCACGAGACAGGTATTCGAGGGCAATTTATAATTCAACAATGTTGTATAATTTAATTTATTGAAATCAAAAATTAAATTTCGTGATTGCATTGGCGATACGTATATAAAGAAGTGTTTATTAAGGAAGTATTTCAGTTTTGTAATTTGTTTTATCTTTGTTTCATCTCACATGCTACTGTTTCAACTTTGTTTCAACCTGTTTGCTATTGTATTGTCATTAGTTTTATCTTTGTTTCATCTCACATGCTACTGTTTCAACCTGTTTGCTATTGTTTTGTAATTTGTTTTATCTTTGTTTCATCTCACATGCTACTGTTTCAACTTTGTTTCAACCTGTTTGCTATTGTATTGTCATTAGTTTTATCTTTGTTTCATCTCACATGCTACTGTTTCAACCTGTTTGCTATTGTTTTGTAATTTGTTTTATCTTTGTTTCATCTCACATGCTACTGTTTCAACTTTGTTTCAACCTGTTTGCTATTGTATTGTCATTAGTTTTATCTTTGTTTCATCTCACATGCTACTGTTTCAACCTGTTTGCTATTGTTTTGTAATTTGTTTTATCTTTGTTTCATCTCACATGCTACTGTTTCAACTTTGTTTCAACCTGTTTGCTATTGTATTGTCATTAGTTTTATCTTTGTTTCATCTCACATGCTACTGTTTCAACCTGTTTGCTATTGTTTTGTAATTTGTTTTATCTTTGTTTCATCTCACATGCTACTGTTTCAACTTTGTTTCAACCTGTTTGCTATTGTATTGTCNAAATAAATTAATAAAATAAACTATTAATGTAAATTATGAAACTTCGCCAGGTGTGAATGCTGCAACTTTGAAATTGGAATATAAGAAGATACCTGACTCATTACTACTTTATAGATAAAAATACAATTACAGTAATTATACTGCGTATAGAATTTATTAGGTGTGAAGGTCGTAGTTATCGAAAAATTGAGTCAATTAACAAAGGAACAGTGTAAAACAAGGGTCTACAAACCGACCATTTGTAACGGCACCGTTCCACATGTTTACCAAGAAAACCGAGTAATATTTGCATAGTTTTTGTTTCTTGATTTTATGTAATAAGTAACTACCGCGCCAGACTGCACTGGACTAATAGATATCGCGATTTTTTTCCAAATATCCAGTGCATTTTTACATTTAGTTGCGTTTTGCAAGAGAGAAAACAACTTACTAATGACTGACATAAAATAATACAAAATTATGCTTTTTAATGTAAATATTTCTGTTTCACAGCGGTCTGTTGTAATTTTTGTAACGGGATATTATAAATACATGTTGTTTTATCTGTCACAGTAAACGGTTTCAAACTGCAGCGTTATATCAATATCGACACGATAAAGTTTCTGATACTAATTATCTATTTATTAATTGGTTACTAAGAAAAGGACAAACGTTAATTTTTGGTAATTATGACATCTTCATTTCCAACCGTTAGTTACATTTTTTTGGGCAGTACATTTGCCGTATATTCCCACTATATCCCAACATAAACCCTTGGTGGATAGCACTTAATCCTTAACAGTTTTCAATAGTTTTACAATGCGGACTTTATATACAATCAACTGTTCACGTCAAACAAAAGTATAATAGCTATCAGCTCACACTTTTTGCAATTGTTTTCTTCCACCTAAAAC